GGATTATCATACTGGTTTATACTGGTTTATACTGGTTTATAATGGTCCATACTGGTTTATACTGGTTTGGACTGGTTTGGACTGGGAGGGGCCTCAGGGATTTTTTTGGGATTTTTTTGGGATTTTTTTGGAATTTTTTTGGATTTTTTTTGGAATTTTTTGGGGAAAATGGGGGAAATTAATGGATTTTTATACTGGTTTATACTGGTTTATACTGGTTTATACTGGTTTGGACTGGTTTATACTGGGAGGGGCCCCAGGGAATTTTTTGGGATTTTTTTGGAATTTTTTGGGATTTTTTTTGGAATTTTTTTGGAATTTTGAGGGGGAAAAATGGGGAAAAATGGAGAAAATGGATGGATTTTGATACTGGTTTATACTGGTTTATACTGGTTTATACTGGTTTGGACTGGTCCATACTGGTCCATACTGGTTTATACTGGTCCATACTGGTCCATACTGGTCCATACTGGTTTATACTGGTCCATACTGGTCCATACTGTTCCATACTGGTTTATACTGGTCCATACTGGTCCATACTGGTCCATACTGGTCCATACTGGTTTATACTGGTTTATACTGGTCCATACTGGTCCATACTGGTCCATACTGGTCCATACTGGTCCATACTGGTTTCCCAGGAACTTCCACGTGTGGAATGATTGCTGGATGAAGCGGCCGGATCTCCCCGACGGCTACGACGGCTGGCAGGTGGTGGACGCCACGCCGCAGGAGACCAGCAGCGGTACTGGTTTCTACTGGTTTATACTGGTTTATACTGTACTGGTTTATACTGGTTTATACTGGTTTATACTGGGAGGGGCCCCAGGGAATTTTTTGGGATTTTTTTGGAATTTTTTTGGGATTTTTTTTGAATTTTTTTGGGTTTTTTTTAAAATTTTTTTTGGGAAAAATGAGGGAAAATTGATGAGTTTTGATACTGGTTTATACTGGTTTCTACTGGTTTCTACTGGTTTATACCGGTTTATACCGGTTTATACTGGTTTATACTGGTTTATACTGGGAGGGGCGCCAGGGAATTTTTTGGGAATTTTTTGGGAATTTTTTGGGATTTTTTTGGAATTTTTTTGGGTTTTTTTTAAAATTTTTTGGGGGAAAAATGGGGGAAAATTGATGGGTTTTGATATTTTTTGGGGGAAAAATGGGGGAAAATTGATGGGTTTTGATACTGGTTTATACAGGTTTATACTGGTTTATACTGGTTTATACTGGTTTATACTGGTTTATACTGGTTTATACTGGTTTATACTGGGAGGGGCCCCAGGGAATTTTTTGGGATTTTTTTGGGATTTTTTTTGAATTTTTTTGGTTTTTTTTTTATTTTTTAGGGGAAAAATGGGGGAAATCTGATAGGTTTTGATACTGGTTTCCACTGGTTTCTACTGGTTTCTACTGGTTTCTACTGGTTTATACTGGTTTATACTGGTTTATACTGGTTTATACTGGGAGGAGCCCCAGGGAAGTTTTTGGGAATTTTTTGGGATTTTTTTTGAATTTTTTTGGGTTTTTTTTTGTATTTTTTGGGGGAAAAATGGGGGAAAATTGATGGGTTTTGATACTGGTTTCTACTGGTTTCTACTGGTTTCTACTGGTTTCTACTGGTTTATACTGGTTTATACTGGTTTATACTGGGAGGGGCCCCAGGGAAGTTTTTGGGAATTTTTTGGGATTTTTTTGGATTTTTTTTGGAATTTTTTGGGGTTTTTTTTTAAATTTTTTGGGGGAAAAATGGGGGAAAATTGATGGGTTTTGATACTGGTTTATACAGGTTTATACTGGTTTATACTGGTTTATACTGGTTTGGACTGCTTTATACTGGTTTGGACTGGGAGAAGCCCCAGGGAATTTTTTGGGAATTTTTTGGGAATTTTTGGGGATTTTTTTGGAATTTTTTTTGGTTTTTTTTTTATTTTTTAGGGGAAAAATGGGGGAAAATTGATGAGTTTTGATACTGGTCCATACTGGTTTATACTGGTTTATACTGGTTTATACTGGTTTATATTGGGAGGAGCCCCAGGGAATTTTTTGGGAATTTTTTGGGATTTTTTTGGAATTTTTTGGGATTTTTTTGGAATTTTTTGGGGAATCCCCAGGGAATTTTTTTGGAATTTTTTGGGATTTTTTTGGAATTTTTTGGGGGTTTTTTTTGTATTTTTTGGGGGAAAAATGGGGGAAAATTGATGGGTTTTGATACTGGTTTATACTGGTTTATACTGGTTTATACTGGTTTATGCTGGTTTATACTGGGAGGGGCCCCAGGGAATTTTTTTGGAATTTTTGGGGAATTTTTTGGGATTTTTTTGGAATTTTTTTTGGTTTTTTTAAAATTCTTTGGGGGAAAAATGAGGGAAAATTGATGGGTTTTGATACTGGTTTATACTGGTTTGTACTGGTTTATACCGGTTTATACTGGTTTATACTGGTTTATACTGGGAGGGACCCCAGGGAATTTTTTGGGATTTTTTTGGGAATTTTTTGGGATTTTTTTGGAATTTTTGGGGAAAAATGGGGGAAAATTGATGAGTTTTGATACTGGTTTATACTGGTTTATACTGGTTTATACTGGTTTCTACTGGTTTCTACTGGTTTATACTGGGAGGAGCCCCAGGGAATTTTTTGGGATTTTTTTGGGATTTTTTTTGAATTTTTTTTGGTTTTTTTAAAATTTTTTGGGGGAAAAATGAGGGAAAATTGATGAGTTTTGATACGGGTTTATACTGGTTTATATTGGTTTCTACTGGTTTATACTGGTCCATACTGGTTTATACTGGGAGGGGCCCCAGGGAATTTTTTGGGAATTTTTTGGGATTTTTTGGGATTTTTTTGGATTTTTTTGGAATTTTTTGGGATTTATTTTGAATTTTTTTGGGGTTTTTTTTAAATTTTTTGGGGGAAAAATGAGTTTTGATACTGGTTTATACTGGTTTATACTGGTTTATACCGGTTTATACTGGTTTATACTGGTTTATAGTGGTTTATACTGGGAGGAGCCCCAGGGAATTTTTTGGGAATTTTTTTGAAATTTTTTGGGATTTTTTTGGAATTTTTGGGGGTTTTTTTAAAATTTTTTTTGGGGAAAAATGTGGGAAAATTGATGGGTTTTGATACTGGTTTATGCTGGTTTATACTGGTTTATACTGGTCCATACTGGTTTATACTGGTTTATACTGGTTTATACTGGGAGGGACCCCAGGGAATTTTTTGGGATTTTTTTGGGAATTTTTTGGGATTTTTTTGGAATTTTTTTGGGATTTTTTTTTAATTTTTTGGGGGAAAAATGGGGGAAAATTGATGAGTTTTGATACTGGTTTATACTGGTTTATACTGGTTTATACTGGTTTATACTGGTTTATACTGGGAGGAGCCCCAGGGAATTTTTTGGGAATTTTTTGGGATTTTTTGGGGATTTTTTTTGAATTTTTTTTGGTTTTTTTTTTATTTTTTGGGGGAAAAATGGGGGAAAATTGATGAGTTTTGATACTGGTTTATACTGGTTTATACTGGTTTATACTGGTTTATACTGGTCCATACTGGCTTATACTGGTCCATACTGGTCCGTACTGGTCCATACTGGTTTATACTGGTCCATACTGGTTTATACTGGTTTATACTGGTCCATACTGGTCCATACTGGTCCGTACTGGTCCATACTGGTTTATACCGGTCCATACTGGTCCATACTGGTTTATACCGGTCCATACTGGTCCATACTGGTCCATACTGGTCCGTACTGGTCCGTACTGGTCCATACTGGTCCATACTGGTTTATACTGGTTTATACTGGTTTATACTGGTCCATACTGGTTTATACTGGTTTATACTGGTTTATACTGGTTTATACTGGTCCATACTGGTTTATACTGGTTTATACTGGTCCATACTGGTTTATACTGGTCCATACTGGTCCATACTGGTTTATACCGGTCCATACTGGTCCATACTGGTCCGTACTGGTCCATACTGGTTTATACTGGTTTATACTGGTTTATACTGGTCCATACTGGTCCATACTGGTCCATACCGGTCCATACTGGTCCATACTGGTCCATACTGGTTTATACTGGTTTATACTGCTTTATACTGGTTTATACTGGTTTATACTGGTCCATACTGGTCCATACTGGTTTATACTGGTCCATACTGGTTTATACTGGTCCGTACTGGTTTCCCAGGGCTGTTCTGCTGCGGTCCCTGCTCGCTCACGGCCGTGAAGAACGGGGAGGTTTTCCTCAAGTACGACACGCCCTTCGTCTTCGCCGAGGTGGGCGTGGCCTCCGCATGCTAATGAGATGCTAATGAGACGCAAACGGGGCGCTAACAACCCCTCCCCTCGACACTCGCCCTGTGGCGGCTGCGCGAAGGGCTCATTAATATGCAAATGAGGGCGCTAACGGAGCGGACTCAATGTGTTGTCGGGGCGGTGGGCGTGGCCGCATGCAAATGAGATGTTAATGAGATGCAAACGAGGTGCTAACAACCCCTCCCCTCAGCACTCGCCCTGTGGCGGCTGCGCAAAGGGCTCATTAATATGCAAATGACGCCACTAACAATGAATTGTCAGTATGGTGGGCGTGGCTGCATGCAAATGAGGGGCGTGGCTATGCTAATGAGGACCATGACAGCGCAACGCTAATGGCAATAAGGTGAGCGGTTATGCAAATTTTGGCGGTGGTATGCAAATTAGAGCGGGTGCGGCCGCAAAACGCTAATGAGGGGCGTGGCTAATGCTAATGAACGGTGTTAAAGAGGGTAATGAGGGGATTCTTTATGCAAATGAGGGAATTAATCATGCAAATGACCTAATTGGTGGCGCTGAATATTCAAATTGAGTATTCAAATGACATAATTAAGTATTCAAGTTCCACAGCAATTTATTCAAATTAATCAAATTAATTATCCAATTAAAGTTAATTATGCATTTAACAAATTATGCAAATGAGCCACGTAACAACTGCAGTATTGAATTAATTAACTGCGCTAATTAGACCCTGGAATTCTCACGTTGCATCCCGCAATTAATATGCAAATTAGATAACAAAGCGTGCATATGATTGGAACACATTGTTAATAGGAATGAGCAAATTAGGTCTTTGATTATGCAAATTGCGTGATTAATTATGCAAACGACCTGGTTGATTTTGCGGATATGCTGATTGCTTTAATTATGTAAACGATTTAATTTGTTATGCAAATGAGCACGTGAGACACGAGGCCATGGGCGGTCTCATTATGCAAAGCAGATGTTAATGAGACCGATTCAGGGAGGGTATTATGCAAATTAGGGGGTTTCAGTCATTCTGCAGGCGTGGGATGATTAAATATGCTAATGAGGCGGTTAATTATGCAAATGAGAAAAGAAACAGCGCTGCAGCGGCAGCAGCAGCCCCATCTGGCTAATTAGCATCCCTAATTAACAGATTAACTAATAACCCCAGTTAGGCAGCGTAATTTCTGTTCCGCACGATCTGTTATGCAAATGAGCTCATTAATTATGCAAGCACACATTAGCCAGGCACACAGAACCTCTTCCACGGCCTCATTAACAGAGCGGGCGCTAATTAACCTAATTGATCAGTGTTATAAATTCCAGTGACGGAGGGGTGATTAGACATGCAAATGAGCTAATTAAATATGCAAATGAGAAGGAGAAGAGGGACAAGGTGCACCAGACACATAGAAACTCTTCCATTGCCTCATTAACAGACCGGGCACTAATTACCCTAATTAATCGGCGTCATAAATTCCAGTTACAGAGGGGTCATTAAACATGCAAATGAGCTCATTAAATATGCAAATGAGAAGGAGAACAGGGACAAGGTGCAACAAAGCGGGGGCTAATTAACCTAATTGATTTGCGTCATAAATTCCAGTGACAGAGAAATAATTAGATATGCAAATGAGCTCATTAATTATGCAAATGAGAAGAAGAACAGGGACAAGGTGCATCAGACACATAGAACCTCTCCCATTGCCTCATTAACAGAGCGGGCACTAATTACCCTAATTGATCGGTATTATAAATTCCAGTGACAGAGAGATAACTAGATATGCAAATGAGCTCATTAAATATGCAAACGAGCAGGTAAACGGGAAAAAGGTGCACCAGACACATAGAACCTCTCCCATTGCCTCATTAACAGACCGGGCACTAATTACCCTAATTGATCGGCGTCATAAATTCCAGTGACAGAGGGGTGGTTAGACATGCAAATGAGCTCATTAATTATGCAAATGAGAAGGAGAACAGGGACAACGTGCATCAGACACATAGAAAGTCTTCCATTGCCTCATTAACAAGTCGGGCACTAATTACCCTAAATAAGGGGCATGATTGATTCCAGTTACAGAGGGGTCATTAAACATGCAAATGAGCTCATTCACCAGACACATAGAACCTCTCCCATTGCCTCATTAACAGAGCGGGCACTAATTACCCTAATTGAATGGCGTCATAAATTCCAGTGACAGAGAGATAATTAGATATGCAAATGAGATCATTGAATATGCAAATGAGAAGAAGAACAGGGACAAGGTGCATCAGACACATAGAACCTCTTCCATTGCCTCATTAACAAAGCAAGGACTAATTACACTAATTAGGGAGCATAACAAATTCCAATGGCAAAGGGGTCAGTAGACATGCAAATGAACTCATTAAATATGCAAATGAGAAGCTGATCAGTGACAAGATGTACTGGCAGGGGCAGACACACGGGGGCTTTGCCATTGCCTCATTAACAGAGCTGGCACTAATTACCCTAATTGATTTGCGTTATAAATTCCAGTGACAGAGGGGTGATTAGATATGCAAATGAGCTCATTAATTATGCAAACGAGCAGGTGAACAGCGACAAGGTGTACTGGCAGCGCCAGCCGCACGGGGGCTTCGCCGTGGTGCACGTGGAGGAGGGGGCGATCGGCCGCAGGATCAGCACCCTGGGGGCCGGCTCTGCGGCCAGAGTGGACATCACTGACCAGTACAAACACCCCGAGGGTGAGTGGGAGTGACCACTCACTGAGTGACCACTCACTGAGTGACCCCCGAGTGACCTCCGAGTGACCCCTGAGTGACCCCTGAGTGACCCCTGAGTCTGAGTTACCGCTCAGTGAGTGTGAGTGACCACTCAGTGAGTGACCGCTCAGTGAGTGACCGCTCAGTGACCCCTCCAGGCTGGGTCAGTTCCGTTCCTGTCCCAGCTCTCGGTCACCCTTTGACCCCTGGAGCGATGACCCCAAACCCTGAGCTTGACCTTTGACCCCACCACTGACCACTGACCACTGACCACTGACCACTGACCACTGACCACTGACCCAGCACTGACCACTGACCCAGCACTGACCACTGACCCAGCACTGACCACTAACCCAGCACTGACCATTGACCACTGACCAATGACCAATGACCATTGACCAATGACCAATGACTATTGACCAATG